TGTCAAAGAAATTAAACACTTACTTATAAAGAGAAAACACAGAAAATATAAAGTCGAGTAATAATCTTTATAATAATATGTAATCACTACATAATATGTAATCAATTAATTTGCGTAATAAATTTAAAAAAAAGAAAAAAATGAACGTATTGAAAAACAAACGTGTTATATATTATGTACAGTATTGTAGTATCTTGTAACTCTTGAAAAATCAGCATTAAATATTTAGAGAGATAAATGTTTAATATAAAAATTAACAGATTACAACGAAAAGTATAAACAACGAATAGAATCTGTTGTCAAGTCCAATAAAACATACTGTAATTTGGCGACTATATACTTAAATTGATATACAAAATACACGTGCACACGTGACAGGTATCCATATATCTATATAAATATTTTGAATAAAAAATTAGCTGAGAATTAGAGAAATAGAAGAAATCAATTTAATTTACTTAACTACAAATTTTATAAAGTTAATTTTAGATTTAGATGCCGCTCTTTTTTTTTACATATATCATTTACATGAATACTGTGTTCTTTTTATTTCTTTAACAATATGAAACGATTTATAGTAACGATGTATGATATTAAAAAATTGTAACAATAAATAAATATGGCGTGAAATATGAGTTTTACATGATATTACTCCCTCTTAAAGTCAACATCAAATGACCCAGTAATCACAGCCATAGGAAGCAATATTATATATCGTATATGGTTTAGACACATAATTTATTTATATTACAAAATGACTAAGGAGCATTTATCATTTGTACTTGAGTAATCAAGAGAAATCGTACTTGTACAAATAATAGTTTCATTTTTTCTACACCGGTTTTTCTTTTATTTTATACTGTACACATGTATAATATATATTTTATAGTTTTATCTACAGTATTCTATAAAATAATTATTTTATACCATTTGTAAATTCCTTTAGTTTAGGATAGCCAATCATGCTTTATGTATTAATTTAATTCACTCCAATTTATATTGTACCCATAATTCAAAAAGTTGAGTCGTATTCAGAATTTCATTAAGTAGTTTTTCATAGTTTTTTAATGTCAAATATAATTTTATAATTTATGTTTCGTTAACATAACAATTATGGGTTGTTCAATTTTGTGAATTTCTGTTTATGAAATAATCCTGCATTAATTATGCGCATTTAATTATGCTCTGAAGTGTGATTTATGAAATTCTTGCATGCATCCCACTGTTTTCTTAACTTATTTAATGGTACAATGGTTGGAGTGGGCTGCGATCTAATTACAGTATGTGCGTAATCTATTCTCACTATTCAAGTGGAGCATATTTTTTTCTATTTTCTCATAAATATCTGACTTTTATACAAAAAAATGTTATAAAATAGTTTAACATCTATATCGTGTTTTCAGCGGCAATTTATTTTGTATTTATTAAACAAGCATAAATCTATCTGTACAATATATAAATTTGCTTGTCATTTTTTAAATATATACATATTAATCAACTAGATATCAACATGAAACAGATAAATATCTGAATTTATTTGTTATAAGTTAAATATACAAATTCGTATGTTTGATTATAAATTAGTATGCAAATTGCAGACAAATAAAATAGATAAATTGTTGATATTCAAGCTGATATTAAAAAATTGAAATTTTGCTGAGCGTCTTTGATACTCCATATGAACAGTACAATAGATAATAGCTTTCTATTTCGATTGTACACGATTGGATGGCAGCCAGTAGTGTACCAAGATTAATAATTATTTCGCGACTTCAAATTTAATATTGCTAATTGATAAAGTCATTTTGCATTTACTCTAAAACAGTTGTACGGTACTATCGTACTGATTTTGCGTTCATGATAGAAAATCTATCGAAAGCATAAAGTACGGTAATACATGAAACTTAATGAAATGTTTCCTTTTTAATTTGCAGATGTACTTCTTAATATCAATTATCCTTTTCACTTTCAATAATCAAAAATTAAAAAATAAAATAAAGAGATAATATCATTAACGTCATTATATGACGCAGTTTTATGTTAATAATAATCGAAGAGGCTTATTGGTATATATCAATATTCTATAAATTCAAATTCTGTTTTTATTTGCTATTGTCTTTCCTTAGTATTAATTTTTATTATTTCGCGATGCAGACATATACGAATAAAAATGCTGTTCGGATAATGGACGAATCAACGAAATATTCATTATCGAAATATTCATTATAAACTCTTATAAAGAAAGAAAGTGTCGCTATTTCGGTAAATTATCTTGGATAATGAAATAAATTTCTCTCTCTTTCTTTTTCTAAATAGACAATCAATAGAGTGATTTCTTGCATGCCTAACTCGTGGTCACTTTGAGTAACACAGGCGATGAAGCGTGGTTGTTAAAGTACAGACCTGCACCCTGAAAGCTGTTGGATCTTGGTACGAGCGTCGGATTCTGATTAATTCCAGTTATACTGTTGTCAATTTCAGAGTCACTGTATTCATCATCTTGCTTGCCCCGTAATACATATTTGAACGACTCGTATCTATCATGCAAATCAGAAAGGCGTTAGACGGGATGTAAAAAGAATAACGAATGTTACATAATCTACAAGAAAAAAAAAAAAAAAATAAAAAAGAAAATTCAAAGTCGATTAACTTACATCACCCAACAAATCGCGGTAGCTGGTGCTTGGAACAAGACGCGGGCGCGTAATCCGCGAAAGTACCCCTGTATCCCACCGAACCTGTAGACTTGCTTAAATGCATCTATCATGCCTTGAGCGTGCACGCCATCCTGTTGCGTATTCAGCACTGTCTTGCAGACATCCAGAGGAGTCGTCGCTGCAGCCGCGATCGCACCTGCTGTTGCACCTGATTACATAAGATAGTCGATTAGAGCTTTACTCAGCTATATTTTTTGCATTAATCAATCTTGCTCAGAATAGTTAATACTTAGGAGTAACATTATTAATTGATTTGCCTACTTTATATTGTTTTTACAAAGTAATGTTTTGTACTTTAATATTTAAAATAATATAAAAAATATAATAAAAAATATTAAGAATAATCAAAAGACTTACCAGATCCGATATGTGCTATTGGATTGTAAACATGCTCTGGATTTGTAATAGATTGTACGAATTCATACGAGATAAAATGAATACTCTGAAAAGGCACATTCATAGCCAATTGAGTTGTATAGCTTCTGTAGAATGCAAATATTCCTTCTTTCTGGTATACATGCTGTATACAATTCAATACATTCCTATAAGGGGAATTGTACATCTGCAATCGTTGTTTCACCACTGTAACAAGATATTATCACATAAATAACATATTAACATTTATCATTTTCTAAGATTAATCTTTCTAGCTTCTGAAATAATACTAAACACTAACATCTTTTACAATGCTGTTATATTTTCTTATTGAATATAGAGCAGTGAAAGAGAGAGACAATATTTAATTAATGATTAGATAAAAATCTGTATATATCTTCAATTAGATAATAACACTGATTGAAGTTTGTAGATTACAAGATTATCTTTTTATTTACAATGATATATATTATCAATGAATTTTTATCAAACATCATATCATATATTAAACTAGTTTGTATAACCAACCTTCCGCTGGGTTCATGACACCATCGTGTAGGATTGTTGCCACACAACCAGCTGCCCCATAGACAAGATGATTAAACTGGGATCTTGAACTTTTGAATTTCTCTTTCAGACATTCGTAGCAAGAAAAATATAAAGCATGTGCAGGACCAGCTCCGGCAACCACTGCGCCAACGCCCCTAATTGGCCTTAATACACCTTCTTGTCGTATCATTTTATACAATACTTCTCCTACTCCTCCTCCTCCTCCTGGACCGGGAGTCAATGCCTGCATTCTTGTCTAAACATATAAAAGAAAAAAAGAGTATTATTTCAGGAAATAATATATAGACTAAATATTTTCTTTGTACATATTTTTGTATAAATTGCTTTTATATATTTGTTGCGATATTTTTCATGCTATTTCATAAAATTATTGTTCATTATAAAGATATGTTAAAGTAGAATGACTTGCTGATAATGAGAACAGTGACTCTCAACCGATCTGTGATATCTCATGAGCGAGAGTATAAAGATATTCTAAATTGATCATTTGAAACAGATGTCAATTGGTTTTGTAGCAAGTTTAAAATAACATACTAGTATTTGCATTATTAAATAATATATCCATTTGCATAATGATTTGCAAAATCAAGACCTGGCATATTAGAGAGAAAAGCGTATATAGTATATAGTGGTCTGAAAAGGAGAACAGAAATAGAACTCACTGCCGACGAACTGTGTTATATAATGAATAGTGAACACTTGCATTCTGAGTAAGAACCTAGTATAATAAGTCGTTTGCAATGCACAATAACTCATCCTTTTGTGTTACTTCCATCAGCTGATACAGAATGACTGTTGTCTTAATCGTCATATATGCTTCATGAAATTATGTATAATAACATCTTATATTGTTACGCCATCAAAAGAGCCATAACGTACAACATAAAAATGTATGTACAACATGAAAATGTGAATTGATTCAATATTATATATGAAGTTGCAATTCTAATTTTTTTTATACATAAACATAAAAATAAAAATATATTAGCAAATAAAATGCTGCATCATATATTTGACATTTTAGGAAATATACAGATATGACGAAGCTAAAAATGTTTATATTTTTAAAGTTATGCATATGGCATGAAGATAGGAATAGTTAATACAAAGATGACGCACATGCTAATGGTGCATCCTGAATTGATTTGATTATTCCAAGATGTGAAAAGACAAGAATTTTCATTTTTTCTCATACAAAATCTAGATTATATCAAATTCCATGAATATTATATATTTGATTTATAATACTTAAATTGCATATGAGAGTTTCTAAATGTACACGTGTACAGAACGTATTTATGCTATGCGAGGTGACACAAGCATATAGAGACAGGTCTGTTAAACTGGCTATTATCTTTAATTCGTTACCCAAATAGTTGAATAATTTCCTTCGTTCAAAGTACAGAGAAACGCCAGTATGCTGTTAAACGTTATTTGTATTACTACAAACAATAATCCCATGACACAACTCTATCTATCTTGTTTGTAGCAGATAAATCTCTCTGAGATAAAACGTCCATTTGTCGAGCGGACAGTTCCTGGAAGGCATGGAGGAAAATGCGGCAGGCAGTGAGATGCGATTGCCAGATGGTGACTTTTCCCGGTGCTCGTGAGTGGAGCGTCGGGGAAATCCCATGGATTGCACGTCACGCGAGGAAGGACGCTTCTAAGGCGAGAGATAGTGTCAGCAACCGGATGCGCGCAGCCGGCGGCGGAGGAGGAGGTTATGTAAAAGGGAAGAACGTGTCGGAGGAAGGAAGAACGTGCCCGGTGCGCGCGGCGTGGAGACTCATCGACGATACCTTAACACTGTCAAATGGATACATGATGCAATGCTCCATGATCCCGGCCACGGCGCCGGCCATCATGTGCACGGCCACGGAGTTGGTCGGTAGGCTCTCGTAGTCGTCTTTATTCATGATCGAGACAGAGGATTGCTCACTCATCTGCTCGTGAGCTCAGATCCGCCGCTACGGTGTCGCGCAATGTATCTTCTCTCTCGTTTTCTCTCCGTCGCTCTTCGCTTCTCTCTCTCTCTCTCTCTCTCTCTCTCTCTCTCTTTCTTTCTTTCTCCGTCTCGCGTACTGGCCGATTCACGGTCGCGCTGTCGATTCGGCGATCACGCTGGACCACGACGATGAAGTCGACGTCGCACGCACGGAGTACGACGTCGCGAACACACGAACCGCACGGACGGATCGCGGCGGATACGCACGTTACACGCGCGCCGACATGCGACCGCGTGCGTCGATCGTTTCTTAATGGAGCTGCAACGAGGAGAAGGCTCGGTGGCTACCCGTTTCCTGTCCCCGCACCTCTGCTCGCGAGTAGTATTCCCCTTCCTCGTCCGACCGCTTCGCTCGTCCGTCCGTTCGTTCGTTCGATCGATCGATCGACCAAACAACCGATCGTACGAATTACACGCGCGGGATTGTCACGAGATCGCGTGAAAATCAGCCGAAATACGCGCGACACGAAACGCAACGCGACAAAAAAGATAGCGCAAACTTAGCGAGGTTAGAATCGAGCGCACGTGCCGCGCATGCGTTGTGCGCGACCACGTGGTCCGTGCGTGCTGAGTGCAGTGTTGCTATTAGGGCCGCTTTTTCGCGCATGCGTATGATCAATAGTCATATGTAGGGCTGTAACATGACATACGTATATAATAGGCATTAAAATTTTGACGTGCTCCACGCTAAGATGAGATAAGTAAAGTAAGATAAATATGTAAATATTATTAATTGTTATTAAAGGTAAATATTATTATGTATTATTTGTTATTCAACATAAATATAATATAGATATATATAACCAGAAAGAGCCTATTAAAAAGCATGCTCGTAATTTTCAAATAAAATATTTTATTTTAAACACATAAATGTGTTTTATTATATACTTTCTTTCCTTACATTTACAAAAATATGACTTTGTTAAAAAATTAATTTTATTGTAGGTCATTAATATTAATTATATTTAAAATTCTATATAATTAAATAATTTTTATATAATTTTTATACAATTTTATACAATTTTATATAATTATAAACAATTTTATATAATATAAAAAATTTCAGTAAAAGACCAAGTGATACCTCTTTTCTTCTAAACGTGATACTTCATTAAATCTGCATCTAAATACGTATGCGCGAGAAAGCGTCCCTGATAGCAACACTGACCGAGCGTTTCGAAACGCGCCTTGGGACGGGTGTTTAAGCGCACGGAATATCGAATGAGAGTGCACATTATGCTAGCGACACCGGCGTGACGGTGACGACGCTGACAATAACGATAATTTTCTGGAGAAGTGAGAGAGAGAGAGAGAGAGAGAGAGAGAGAGAGAGAGAGAGAGAGAGAGAGAGAGAGAGAGAGAGAGAGAGAGAGAGAGAGAGAGAGAGAGAGAGACGAGAGACGAGACGACG